TAGTGTGATTGGCTATATGATTGAAGGTTACGCCCTAGAGTCTTTTTACTGCTTTGTAATTGGTTAGAGTTTTGAAAATGAATAAAGAGAGTTTGAGTTGGTCTTGGCGAATACTCCACGACTGACGCAGTCGAGTCCCGGAGAGTCGAGTCCTGGAAAGTCGAGTCCAGTCCAGGGGCGAGCCTTGAGGCAGTCCAGTCTTGGGCTAGTCTTGGGTCAGCCTTGTGAGATTCTTGGAGACTTTTCCCCAGGGCGCTGTGTCTTACAGAGTGCTCGACAGATCGACTAAGACGAGAGTTGAAACGTATTTCGTTGTGTGTGTCTTATTTGACTGTAAAGTTAAAGTGACTTTTCCGACCCCGTACCTCAAGGGGACGAGATAGAGAGACGAGACGAGTTTCCCCCTGACAAGTGTGGAGAACCCCGAAAGTAGAAGAATATCCCCCTGATAATACATAACTTTATATAGTATTCGTTGTTCAAGTTCAATATATGTAACCCCCATAGTACTTTGGGAAACCCTGACATTCCCTTTGTACATACAAATATATAGTAATATGGTAACATGGCTTAAAACAATATACATGTATAACGTCAAATCCATTGTACAATATTATATGACAACCAGCCTTGTACGTACACGTCATCAAATATCTGGCAGATAAATTATTTTAAAGCGTGGTATCTCACTTAATTAAGAGTGACTCGAATTAATTAAAAGGTACTAACCAAATGTATGCAACCCAAGGTGTGTTAAGTAGGTTGATGCATGTTGTCCAATTGTGTATTAACTTAATGCATGGCATAAACTGTGCGTAAGGAGACCAATGAAATGGAGACATTTTTTAGTACGGTGCTTATATAGATTTCTGTCTATATTAAGTCCTAAATATTTTACGATTTGCTGCAGTGGAGCGCCATTTATTGTACAAATTTGTGTATTGTTATTTTTATTCTAAACAAAAGAGACTAACATGTAATTGGTTTTGTTAGTATGATTATTCGCATTACACCAGAAATTAATATATTAATCGATATTGTGCATATAAATGATTTAGTAAATGAGTGGAAAAAGAGTGGAATCATTAGCAAAGAACTTGAATTTAAAGAATGTTGAGGAGGTTGGTAAGTCTTTTATGTAAATTAGGTAGAACAGAGGCCCTAAAATGGAACCACGTGGGCATGATATTTGATAGGTATTAGTTGAGGTTTGCAAGTTATTTGTTGTGACATATAGTTCCCGAACCATTGAAGTTGTGTGCCACGAATGTTGTAGTTTTTATCCAGTAGTATGGGGTGGTATTTGTATCAAATGGCGTTGAGGAGTATAAACATGGTACAAGAATAATGTTCCCTTTATCAATGTCATTAAATAGACCATAGATTATGTCAATTAGAGCTAGTTTGGTGATATAGTTTTTACGAAAGACATATTAGTTTTTTGTTTTAAATTTGTTCAAATATGATCTGCTTGCTTACTATATTTTTTTCAATAATCTTTCTAATGATAGGGAGAATAGAGGTTGGTCAATAGTTATCCGGAAAGCCTTTTTTGTAGATTGGAATTACTTTAGCAGTTTCGAGCCGATCGGAGGAAACACCTACCGCCAGTGTCGAGTTTGTGATGTAACTGTGTTTTCTTTTCTATATGGTGCAACGTTTTTATATAAGACGAGCATGAATATGATTATGATCGCTGGCTTTACATTAAAGCGGGGGAATCGTCAAGTGCACATACGTCAGATGGCCATAGAGTGTCACTGTTTACACAAACAAGCGTCTACCCATGAGCCTTTACGTTTTAGCGTGTGTTGTTATCTATCGCTATAAATTAAAGTTGAATATCCTGTGACTTAACATAGAAATGTTTGCGGAGCTTAGATTTAGTAAAGGGGTGAGTACGGTACAGTTATATTAATATAAAACCAAACCTTCCCCCTTTACTAAACCTAAGCTACGCAAACTTGAATTAAAGCGGGGGAGTCGTCACCTGCGTATGCGTCAGATGGCCATAGCGTGTCAATGTTTACAAACAAAAGTTTACCTATGAGCCTTTGCGTTTTTAGCATGTGTTTTTTATCATCGCTTGGGACTCCGCGCGTACAATTACACACACACAAACAAACAAAACAAGTGAAAAAAGCCACATTGACCTGAACTTTTTGATTTCTAATCGTGATTTCAGTTTTTATAAATTTTGCTACATTGGTGCAAACGAGTAGGTTCTTACTGGAAATTAATTCACCTATGCCTCTGGTGATTTACTATTGAGATCGTGGATGTGTGAATTGGTATTTATTCCATATGATAAGATTCTTTTGTGGCGGCCAACTTCAATATTAAGAGTTTGGTCACTCACGAAATTAGGAGAGACAGACTCGTAAATCTGTTTTCTAGTTTGTTTAAGATCGGCTCCCAAGATGAAATTTTGTTCTATATATATGTTCTGAGTTTGTTTCTTCATTAGACGAGGTTCTACTGTCATCGAGAACCCCAGTCTTCTAGTGCGAAATAAAAGACTGTTTTGGGTCAGTGTGGTTTTAGGTAATTTGAGATAGATTCATTTTATCCGATTAATGAATTGGATGGCTTTGCTTGGTGTCACTCAGCAAAGAAGTTACTCTCAGATACCGTTTGGTTCTAATTTGATAGTAGTTACCGTGCCGTTTATTCGTCAATGGAGGTAAAGAGGTTTGGCTACACGTCTTACGTGTACGCGAAACATCACGCATTTTTCACGCATTTTTGTGGCGATGTCATCGATTTCGGAGAACTTTTTTGGGGGGGGGGGATTCACCCAAACGTTAATATTGTCCTAAATGTTATGAGCCCGGATTTAATGTCACACGAGACAAAATACTAGGAAGAACACAGGTTATGTTAAGAGTTTATTATAAAAGATTGTAATGGAACAAAATAGCGGTTTTTAGCCCCGAATGAGGTCAATGAGCATTACGCCATGCGATCAATTTATTTTCGATTCGGACAATCGAATGAGTAGTGATGTATTTAAACAGAAACAGCGCAAATTGTAGATATATTTAAAGCGGGGGAGTCGTCACCTGTGAATGCGTCAGACGGTCATAGCGTGCCGTTGTTTACAAACAAGCGTCTACCCATGAGCCTTTTCGTTTTTAGCATGCGTTGTTGTCGTCGGTTGGGACTCAATTCCCGTGCGTGCGCAGGTGACGATCCTTCCGCTTTAATAGACCGGTCGGTTATCGTCATGCTTACTCAAATTTATGTAAACAAACAGCGTGTTTTACACGCGTAATATACGTCCCTATCGGTCCCATATCGAACAGGACGTGACGCGACGACCACCGCCACCGGCAGGGACAATTCATCGGATTCACAACATATCAACAAAAAATCACAGCAAAGTAACACAGTACAGGTTGGAAATGTTTTATTGTCTGTTCACGTTGACCTCATCTGATCTCTGTACTGAAAAATGTAATAATAATAAACAAATGTTTACTCTGATATTTAAAAAAAGTTTTAGTATTCATGTTAAATCATTATTTAAAGCGGGAGTGTCGTCACCTGCGCATGCGTCAGATGGCCATAGCGTGTCATTGTTTACAAACAAGCGTCTACCCATGAGCCTTTGCGTTTTTAGCGTGTGTTGTTATCGTCGCTTGGGACTCAATTCCCACGCGTGCGCAGGTGACGACCCTCCGCTTTAAAGATTATTGTTTCTAAAAATTGCAAAATTAAGGTAGAAGCCTAGTCATAATTTTTGACAAAATTGGTCATAAATTGCATGACAATGTTCATTAGTTTATTATGTACAATAATGAAGCTAATGTCCCATGGTACAATGAAATAGCATTATTTTGTGTTTTACAGTTATGCTTTTTGAGAAACGTGTCCTAATATTTCTTGAAAATTGCTATTTTTAGAACAATTCCATAGAACACAATGTTAAAGTAAAATTGTATTTTTTGACACCCAGATTTTTTAAATAATTCAGAACAATATATGATTTTTTCAGCCTATGTCACCAGGCTAGATTTTGAGATATTGCATAATATCTCTGCCATAGGAACCTGTGGTAAAAGTGTTATAATAGTGTCAAAATGGCGACTTTCCACTAAAATACAACCATCAATTTTTCGAAAAAAAGGCTGGTGACCTCCAACTTTTTTTTAGGTCAATATCCTTATATTGCCTTAGAGTACAATTTATTGCAAAATGAATAAATTCTGGGTTTTTAATTCATGAGTTTTCTTTCTGCATTTTAGTTATTATTTTGCAAAAAAGTAGTAGCTGGAAACAAAATCAGTGTCTCCAGTTATTTTTTTGCAGTACTCTCTAACAATTATTGTAGAATCTACAGCAACCTATCTTTAAAATCCCCCTTCCTTCGACCTAGAAAGACCTTCCATCGCTATCGAGGCAAAAATGGGTCACACATACAAAATAATGTTACTCGGCTGAAGCTAGCCACAGTCCCTCTATAGAGTGACTGTGAGCTAGCAGACACTCCCAGTAGACAGTGGAAGCTAGCAGACACACTAGCAGCCAGTTTCCGTGATGCACGTCAGTGTTCGCGGCGCATCCAACGAGCGACGAACGCAATGTCGTCAACTCTTACAAAGATTATAGCAAAAATAATAACAACAGAAACAAGTTAGGAAATAAAATTGCTACATGTACAGCCAGTTTAAAGATGGTTAAGGCGGCCAAATTGCAGAAAGCCTTTGTGTAACAGTTACCGTAAATCGCATTGAGAACTTACAACACACGGAAGTGTAAATGTCGCACTGATGCATAGAATTGTGGGTAAATTTATGGGTCAAGGGTGAAGGATCAACTGTATTCCCCAGTCTCTCAGCTTATTTCATGGAATATAATGCATGTGTTTGGGTCACGTAAATGTTACTAAGAATCATATACAGCGACACAATGGGACAAATTGATAATCAAATTTGAATCTGTTCAAGAATTTTTTGTTGTGGACCTCACTGGAGAAATTACTCAACAAACACACGTCCCACGTTTTAGGATGTTGTAGTTGGGAGTCACCAATATTTACCCTCTTCGCCCATTATTTTACACAGCATCTTATCCGAGACTGACAATGACGTTATTTCACTTTGGAAACTGTTTTGCGCTTGCCTATGTGCCATATTTGATCACATATAAGTGTTCCGGACTGTGAGTATTCTGTACTTTTTTGTTTAAAATATTTCGACATGCCATTTAATTATTGAAACTTCGAAGTACAAGCATTGTACGTGTTATGGCTTGGTATAACGTCGGCAAATCAATCTTACATTCCCTGGCTTACGGGAGATTATGAGAGTTCCATGTTTTGTTTGAAAAATAATATGGGTAACCGTTAACTCCCACCACGAAAATGAATGAATACGACGCTGATGACGTCATTGGCCAGAAACATTTGTGCCCGCATCCATCAGCGGTGGTCAGTCAGTTCGCCCCAATGCACATTCGCCCCAGACCAGTTCGCCCCAAAGTCGGTTCGCCCCAAGTTTACTGGTGTTCGTTTTCGCGGTTATGCGTGCAAGGAAATGTGGTTTTGAAATATTTTAAAAATTATACTTAAGTAAAAACCACATCGAAGGAGGCTGATCGCCGCGATTGTAGCATATCGCCCGAAGAGTCGAACCGGTGTCGTGCCATATGCGTCGTGATAGCGATACTTTGCCTTTTTTTGCCATGCGCTGTGATAGCGATTTTTTGCCCCTTTTTCGATTGACTTATCTCCCCTGGCTTG